TAGGAGCATCAAATATTCACTCGCACCGGCGGCGGGCCACGAGGAAACGAAATGGATAACCGTTGTCTGAAAGGCCACAAGGGGCGAACATATACCTCCGAACTTCCCCTCTTACCCTAATTACATAACTGTTTTCTTTGAATAAAAATGTATTTTCTATAAATTGTTCGTTGTACCAATTCCTTTCATAGATTTTAAGGAATAAATAATCCATTATTATTATTGAATTGCAGCTTTTACAGCATTTTTCAATTTCAAAACCGGCTTACTGTTGCACCCTACGTCAACCTTGAACCGCCCTTATCGAGTCAAACATTTCAGTGTATTTATTTCAACAACACTTGCTTAATTATTATTTTGTTTCAATAATGTTTACAATCATTAATTATGAACTTGTAAATATAGCTAATATGGTCCGTTTCGAGTCGTATGTAAAGTTATAATGCGTTCACTGCTCGTCGTCCATTATAGTAAAGCGCAGTGCGCAAGCTCTCACTCATGAAATCAACGCATTGCCCTGTTGTTTTGACGGCAATCGCAGCAGCGATGCTTGCTTGACATTTTGTAGTCCGAAATTATTTCAGTTTGGTTGACCGAAAAATCATATACAATGCCGTAAAGACGTCTCACACGGATATATCTAATCAATCTTGGATCTATCGAATAGTGATAGAGTTTAAAAAACCTGCATTGAATTAAAATGTATCACACAAGTGAAAATGTGTATTCAATAATCTAAATTCTCGTTTCTCAAAGGGGCCTTAGCAAAGCCTCTATCAATAATAGATTAAGTCCTTTGCCAACCTTTGCGCAGACCTCGTTTCCAAAATGTCCCCTAAATTTATCGTGTAAGAATCGCTTTAGCGAAATATATGAGATGGCTCATGCTCATGGTCGTAGCTACCTGCCGCTGGAGCTCCATTGCGGAGAAAAACCGCATATTTATTCCATGAATTATCCTCCACATCGTAAAAAGGTGCAGGATAAGGTGCCGTGGTTAAACCAAGCGTATCCTGGATGCCATATTTGTTACACTTCGAATTGTGCGTCCGAGTCTTTGCGGATGAATAATTTATTATAATACTCTCCGATGCCCAATTATAGTAGGTACCATCAATTATTATATAGTTTTCTGTGATGTTATGCTAAAGGGGTTTTTTTGTCGTTAATCGTATTAAATTTCTATTCCCAGCCTTATTTTGGTATTAAAGTTGTTAAAATAATAGCGCTCATTAAGTTCTTGTGGTACTTGCAATCGAGCTACACCAATTATGTTAGTACATATAAATTAAGGTTTCAATTGCTTCAAGACATCTGTCGATTCCCCAGAGAAGGTGACGTGTTTCGTAGTCATGGGCTAGCAGACGCCCCTGTCCACAAGACGGGTGGCGTGTGCTGCCAGCGTTCTCATACCTTGCTGAATATTTCAGCAACCACCCACCGTGGAGAAAATTACAGACTACAACTTCCACAATTGCTGTTTAGAATATTCCTCGATAGGAGTGGGAAATTAGGTCACCTGAATGTTTATCTTCACCTGACGTTTCCCACTTGAACTAAACTGCAATCATCGGTGCAGCTGCTACACGTCTCACAATCCAGAATCCTTGGTTTGGTATGAATATTTAAATCTTTGGACGTTCATAATTTATTGTAGGTTATGTTATTACATGTATTATTCCTACTTTTCTTTCATAAAGTATTCCCAGATATTTGCGATACTCGAATTTTTTTTTTTCCGGAATATTTAAAATCCTAGGGGGATTTTAAATATTCCGGATTCCGGCTGTAATTAATGTTAAATTTTCAAGTAACTGTAAGTGTCAGTTACGTAATTTCGTTCTTCATTTGAAAGTGTGCATCTTTGTTGTTGTCTGGTTACCTAGGCGACAATTGTCTTCGACGTCGCCTCATCGGTAGGCTATTAGCTATTGACAACTACTACATCGACATATCTACAGACATGTCCTTAAAATGTAATCCAAACAGACCTGTCGTGTATGTTTGATGTGTTTGATCGCTACGATTACTTGGCTGGTCTGTTGTTAGATCTTATGATTGACCTAGTGGAAGTAATTTATTTGACTCGACTGTAATACTTTATGGTCGATAGAGCAATAGAGGTGTATTTTATTAACCGACTTTAAAAAAAGGAGGAGGTTCTCAATTCGACTGTTTGTTTTTTTCTATATATGTTACGCGATAACTCCGGTATTTGTGAACCGATTTTCATGATTCTTTTTTTTTGTTGGAAAGAGGGTATATCCATAGTGGTCCCATTTAATTTTGAAGAAAATCATCCACCTCTAAGGGTGGCTGGCTGTTCACGCATGAAGATTCCTTTTTATAAATAGTGCCTAAATTTTATTATAAGGAGCAATTATTTTAATGGTTGATTTTGCTATTCTCCTATTCAAGGCGTTTTCTCTCTCACTATACTTTGAGTAGTGAGAACCGATTTTTATTATCTCCTGTGTCAAGTCCCGTATAGTGGCGAACTAGGGGATGAATCCGGGTTTGCTCACTTTCCGGTAACCGATTTCAATAAAACTTGGTAATTATATGTAATTTCACGTACTTTTGAGACAGGTTTTTTAGTAATCTGTACTGAGATTATTGTTTTGTTTTTATTTGTAAAATTTAACATAACAACCGTCCAAAATTGCATTATCTTATTTAGTGAAGTATTTTATTTCTGTTCTTACGAAATCGATCAATTCGATCTCCCAGACGAATTGGATGGAATTTCGGGGAATGGTTTGGAAAGAGTTATCTATGGTTCAACTTGTAAAATGAATTAATCATTTATTTATTATGGTCAATTTGTTAAGTGATGTCGTAGGTGGACATTAGCGCACGGCTAACGACTTTGTCGCATGCCATAGGTCTGCTGCCTCAGATGTTGTTTGTTGTTTAGGGAAACATTATGTTACACTCTTCAGTCAATGAAATATAACCCTGCTATTAATTTGGTATATCAAGTTTTCAAAGCACATACTGTATAAACCTAGCAAACATAATTTACATTAGTTAGTAAGTTTAATTCAATTCCCTTGGAATGGCTGTTCATACACTTATTATCTTTACCGATTATTGCCTGTAAAGCTATTTACGGAGGTTCTAAATAAAGTTTGAATAATAAATCTAAAGCGATAACAGAAGTAATCTTTGATTGTCTTGTTATGTTTGTTTACGTCCAAATGGGAATGCTATTTAATATCTTGTACACTATTTGAATAATACATCCATTGTCAATTAACTACCAGAAAATATACATGCAACTTGAACACGACGATATTATAAAAGACATTGTTTTCACGAAAACAAAATGTAGCCAATAAATAAACATAACCTAAGTGTGCACCTTTTCATTGTTAAAAATTCAACAACCCTTTTAGATGCGAACGTGTTATGCATCGCGTTCTCTTTGTTCTGACGTAACGTGCATTTATTGTTACTTTCCACATTTTTAGACAAGGTCTGTGATTTTATACATATTATGTATTAGAAGACTAACAATGTATTCGTATTATAAAATAATCAATGAAAGTATCCTCTTACCATCAAAACAATAATCAAGATAACTTGATAATTTCAGCGGAAAGCTGTGAAATAAGTATTTATTTTATCAATTATTGTTGGAATTGAATTTCACATCTTATACATTTCAATGATGTCGTTGTTGTAAATAAAATGTAATTCAGTAGCAGTAGAGCTCTTTGTGAAAAAGTTCGTCCAGAGGAGAACTGCCACCTTACCTATTTCTGCCGCCAAGCAGTAATGTCAGCGTTACGTTCCGGCTTTGAAAGGTAAGGGTGCTGTTGAAATTACAGGCATATGGGACTTGACAATTGTCTCATGATGACGCGCGCAGTGGTAGTGCCTTTCAGATCTTTGGAATTTAAAGCTCTGAGTGGCACTGCAACTGGACAGGCGTGTAGCCTACCATCAGGCGCACGACTTGTTCGTCCCGTCACTTAATATTATGAAAAAAAACTTATATGGAAAAAATCTATGTATGTCTGTATATTACAGAACTGTAAGCTATGCATGCGAATTTCTTGCCATTGTAATAAGGTTTGTGTTGTTTTGACGATTCCCGTGACTCAGCGGTTAGTCCTGGGCGTTTGTGTAGGAAACCAATTTTTCTGAATTTGTTTCTGATCTGGGTGCTCTGGATGTGCCCCAATGAATTTCGTTGCCTTAGGGCATAGTCCTCATAGTCCAGGGTACATTATTCTCTAGCTTGAGACCAGGTAATTGGTGTGATTGTTTGGCACATTATATTACTATTCTATATTTTGTAATATGTAATAAAATAACGTTCTATTTATTTTGAATGGTGCCTTGAAAACTCATAATGTTCTGTGATAAACACAAACAAATTCATTTTAATACTAATGTAAAAACGTAATTGTTTGTAGTGGATTCCGAAAACGATATTTCAATAGAATAAAATTACAGACTGTTTGTATAAAATATTTGTCTGAAACGCATTGCATTACTTTTAGTTTAATGCATTAACCTTAATAATAGCGCATGGCCACATTTGAAAATATTTTCAGGACACGCGCTCTTTGTTGAATAGAGAAAAAGCGATACGCTTTTTTTTAAAGTATCTCTAATTTGCATGTTACTTTAGACAGGTTTGGATGAATTGAATCGCAGCTATTAACTTTGTATTTTTGGACTGTGACCTAAATAGAACTTTGTGACTAAGGCCTTTGGAAAGGGCTCTTAAATGCCATGCCAGATTTTCGTTCTCTCGGTACATAACTGTCTTACAAGTAACTTCAGTGCATAGTTACGGCTAGTAGGGGACAAGTCTGGAGAGCTTTGTGGTGTAATCATGGAACATACGTAGGTTGGTTTAGAAGCAGGGTGTCGTCTTGCGGTGGAGACTTGTTAAGTCGTCGTTTCCGGGGCACAATGAGAGGCAGGGTGTTATCGACGGCGCGAGCCGTGCGCATGTGCAGCGGCGGCGCCCCGGAGTCTCGGGGGTGCCATACTAACGCCCGTGCACAGCCCCTCCGATGCCAGTCAACCCGCGGCCGCCATGCCGGCCAAACGCGCCTAACACCTAACGACAATAAAATGCACGCGCCCATTTGTTACAGTTATGTACGTCTTTATTACAGTGACTTAAAATTATCACAACGTGCGTAAAACTCTAATCGGTATTTATCTTGTTCTAGGTCTAAGCCGCCTTGGCCTAACGCACCGTTGCGAAAATTGGTGAGTTTTTCCCTGTATCTTGATTGTATTATTCCTTTAACTAGCTCTTGTTTACCCGTCAACCTCTTTCATACTAAAAAACATCATTATCATTGTTTCCGCGTTCACACACCTCGTCGCACACCTTTTTCATTTATACATTACAATAGTTTTTGGTAATTTTGTATTGTGAAAGCGTTTTGTATTCCTCACGAAAAAGGTATTGCACGAACTTAATTTGACTCCCGTCTCAGTTTTGAGATTGCCATTTACACAATTTTGTCCTCAAATACGCACAACGTTTCCTTTGAATTTCTTTGCGGAAAATAATTACCAAGTAAAAGGAGCGTCTTAAGGGGAAAGGAGCGAAGTAGGTAAGAAATGGGTCGCAGGTGAGACAGCTGGTTGTGACATTTTGAGCGTCGTTTGCTTGTTTTTTCTTGTATTTTTTGCGCGTGGTAGGTCTTTGTGCGGCGAACACCTGCCTCGGCTCCGGGCTCATAGCCAGTCATGCCAGTACTATTCATGTACTCGGGGTACATTCACTTTGAATGTCCTCAAGCCAGTTAAATAAATTTCTGCTGATTCGCATCCAAAATCAATCTTCTTTTATAGTTCACATGAACGCGAATAAGCTTTTCCCATTGGTGCTAATAAAGTGGGGATGAGTCGTTAATTAAACGATACAGTATAATAATAATAATAATAATAATAACGCACACACTCAACGTAGCCCCGCACTAGGGAAACCCTGTGTCGCGGGTGCCATAGACACACACATAGATAACCAGAAATTACATCCAAACTCACGAGAGAAATAAATGTAGGCCATACAAATATTTCTCCCGGCCCGGGAATCGAACCTGGGACCTCTGCGTGGCAGTCCGGCAAGGTAACCGTTCGGCCACAGAGGCAGTATGATTTGATTTAATAAATATGAATGCGAGTAAGTCAACTGCTAAATTCGGTTTATAACAACCAGAGAATAGAAGTAATGCTAGTGGAAATTCACAAAGTTTTGGCTTTGAGGACGGTATCACGGAGTTTAGTAGAAACCCTTTGTACGTTTGGCGCGTATTTTGCACCTGCAGGGGAGTCAGCGACCTCGTTCACCTGCCTCGCTTGCCCGACGGCGGCGGCGCGGCGGTCGCTCCCATAACCATACGCAGATGTCCCCCAAGGCTTATGGACATCATCTCTTATCAGATTGATCACCAAATCATCCTAAATGTTGGAGTATGGTCGGACGTTATGAGTTACATCTGAACGGAGGATTTGTCAACAAGGATTTTTGTGTAGGCGATTTCACCATGGACAACCATGGTGAAATAGTACGATAGATACCTATTGGTTTCAATTTCCTTACAATTCATAAAGTGGAGGGCAAAGACTATGATGAAAAGTATGTAGTTGTGTAAAACGATAACGCTTTTTAATAAAAAACCGACCTCAAAAGTCATTCATCTCCTAATTTGCCATCCTTAGAGGTGGAATATTTTCTTAAAATTGAAATGGAGCCACTACTGAGCTATCCTCTTTCCAACAAAAAAAGAATCATCAAAATCGGCTCACAAGTTATCGCGTAACATACATACAAAAAACACATACAGTCGAATTGACAACCTCCTTCTTTTTTAGAAGTCGGTGAACAAAGAAGGAAAATCTTTAATAGAAAAGAAATATCGTCTTTATTATAAAATCTTAACTAAAATGTTCCAAAATCATAAAAATATTGTTGACCTCGATTTCGCGATAAAAGTAGAATGGGCAAACTTCATGTCCATTATTTGTGTGAGATATAGTGTACCTAAAACATACTCTTAACTCATAAACTTTTTAGCCGAATGACCATTAACACAGCATGGTTTGGCAGAGAACCAATGTAAACAGAAAATGTGTAGTTTACATAAATATGAAGTTCAAAAAATTTTACATGTCACCAGCACACCTAATCCATTGCAGTGGGCGTCAACACGCCGCCGTAGGGATGCCCGGCTGGATTATTTAGGACCAAAGTTTAACACGTCGACGAGTTAAAATGACTAGACACAATTATGTAAAAAGTACCCAAACTATTATTTAAGTTTGGCGTATGGCAACGTTTAAGAATTCTATTATAATAACGTCCACGGTTTATAGTTAGAGCGATTGATTTATGTCAAGTGATTGATATAAAGTTGAATATAATATTGCTATTAAGTGAAAAGTTTTTCTTTGACTTTCATGCATTTTTTATAAGCTCATCCTAACCACGATTTGGATTTGGGCACAATATAAAAACTTGACATCTTTCAAGTGAACTGATTACTTAGAATTTTTTTAATTTCTTTGGAATTACAACCACGTTTTGACAACTCGTGTTTCTGCAACATTACAGCATTAAAATAATAGGATACTTTGAAAAATACCAAGTGCCTGCAACATGCAACTCAGTCCTGGCAAAACCGTTTTAAAAGAAAGCGTGCATTTGTGACGTAAACTCATTTTCTTTGCGGTGTAAACATAAGCGTATAAGGCACCGTAGTAATTAATCGTGAACTAAAAAAATGAAATTAACATTCCTCTAGTATATATAGTTAATAAAGTCTGGAATGTTCTATGGTTAAAGTTGGAAAGAATCGTTTATGCTACTTTGTGTTTAAATAGTTGCTTGATGCTTTTACAAAATAATATGTAAACTATTGCTAAAGTTAATCTTACTAATCATAATCTAAATTGGTTCTGTTCTGGGTGTTTTGGGAAATGCCCCTGAGTGAATTCCGTTGCTCTGGTACTCACAGTACAGGGAATTACCTAGTTTGAGTTTGAGACCAGGTAATTGGTGTGATTGTATGGCACTTTATTATTATAATCACTATCAAAAGTTTAACAAGACTACATACAATAAACATGAATTTTAGTAAGAAACTTGAACGGTAACGCATCAAAATAAATTTATATTCAAATTATTTCCTACACAAACATGGAAATTGATGCGAGACTTAAATTTGCGGGTGAACAAAAGTTGATCAGTTCGCCTTACCCAAGGAGTTTTCAATTTTCCATTGTACGGTCAATGCGGCCATAAAGGGTTGTCATTAACCTAATTGGAATAAAATTGCGTAGGTACGATAATTTAGCATTGTGAGGTGGTTCAGGATCGATAGTAGGGCGTTGCCGCGATTACCGCGTTTGCATTCTGTTTCAAACGCTTTAATGACTTATTTATTACCCGATCCTTTTTTCCCCCGTGCTGATATTGATTGTTTTGATTTGTCTCTGTCGGCAACATTTTATATATTTTTAAATAATTTTTTAAATATTTTTATCGAATACTTGAAGACAATAATATATTACATCCTTAAGCAGAGTTTTGGGCGATTTTAACTTAATCGATAAATCTATCGATTAGATATCGATTCTAAGAATTAATACACATTTTTGTCCAAATTTTAAAGACATTTCGTAAAGATAGGTAAATATATCTTATTTGTGATCGAATTATATGAGCTCGGAAAGGTTACTCAAGGAAGCTGAACTCATAACGCAAATGGAGTATTGATTTACCCACAGAAACGTACGTCTTGAAAGCAATTATCGACATCAGTACGTGTGGTAAATTATTATGGCAATACTATAAATTAATGAAATTCGACGAACGTTACATAAACTGCAAAGTTAATTTACGAAAGCAGATACCCTAGCCCGTCAAGGATCAAAAATAAATTCCACGTAATTGCGGAAAGCCCTCAAATTATTCTCAACGCAACCTTTGCTTCGAATTTAAATTCGTTCATTTCGGAATCACGTATTTCACAACACAACAGCAATTAATACAATTTCCTAAAACCACTTATAATTACTGGGAAACGTAACGTAAACGTAGCACCAGGGTGCGAAACTCTCGAGTAAACTGAACTCAACATACTGTGTTCTTTCACATTATATAAACGAGGAGACTTGTTTATTAATATTTTTCATCTTAATTGCCCTAGTAAAGTGAAAATTTGCTAATGCCTCGCTTGGTTACCCTCAAACGTTTTGACGTTTTATTTATCAGATTTGTCAAATTAATTGAATTGGAAAAGGACGTAATTTATAAATGAGAATTGTAATTAAAATTTCAAGAATAGCCGAAGCCAATTCATTTAAAATCTAAATTAACCCAACCCGATTTGTTTTTGATGTTAGACGCTAATTCTAACTTCTGTTCTTCGAGCGTCGATAGGTATTTGTATAAAGGATGATTGTTTCAGACATAAACATGAAGCGCGACGCTTATGGAGACGACGGCCCTGTTCAGAAACGGCAGCGGCAACTAGACGACGAGGTCACTTTTCTTATACCCAGTAAGGTAAAGCAATATTTTTTTTTTTCATGACCTGCTTGCTTTAGTTGTGTCCCATATGGATTGAGATTACTTTATTTGAGTTTACAGTATATGAATTATTTAAAAGGACTAATTGCGAAGTCTTATTCGCAGAGGCAAATCCAAGTATCGTTTTGCGTCGGATACCGGCTTAACCTGACATGATTCGATTTCAGTACGTGCAGCGTATCTTAAAAATTGGATTTTCGACAGGTGGCTGGCTCGATCATTGGGAAGGGAGGCGCAAATATATCAAAGCTCAGAAATCAGGTGAGTATTTATAATACACTACCTGAACATGCACCACTTGACACGGGACTAAAAGTAATTTACAATTTGTACATTTAAATTAATACAACATGTTACAAATCTTTTCACTAGGTTATAAAATTACATTTCTGCAGGTACTCAATACGGTAGATATTTACACTTTTTTCTATAGTAACATATGTTTTTGAAGTAAGATTTTGATACAAACAAGATTGTCTTAATTAACATTTTTTCACCACAGGTTCTACTGATCTTTAAATTACCTCCAATTGTACTGCTGTGTCTCTGGTAAATCGGAAATGTAACGACCCATGTCTTGTAACTTTTGAGAGATGGGTGCCTGTGGATGCGACCGTGGGCACCCAGCAGCCGCGCTAGGCTAGAAATAACCCCCCGGCAGCCAGTTCCAGGTCTTTGCTCTAGCGCGACAAGCCGCCAGCCTCCGCACATTGTACGCACTATCCTCAACATTCGCTTTGCCGATTGCCTATAATCCGACACGCCAATAAATACACGTATAAAAGCTCAAGTGAGGATCATCGACATCCGCTTGGGTGTTACTAACTCTGATACTCGTTTACTCTATACCAAAAGACAATGGTTATTCCTGGGATATAACATCTAGATGTTCCAATAGAGCTTCTGTATAAATCAAAAAGAATTCGATTGGCATTTCGTAAACGCGTCGGTGGTGTAGTTGGAGACGTTGTTGAGGATGGTGCGGGTGCGCGGCGGATGGCGGCTAGCGGCTACAGCGTTGTGGTTGCCGGTCCCGCGGCTGCCGCTGCCTGCCGCCCGCCCCGCGCATCGCCCCGCCCCGCCCCGCGCCTCGCGCCCCGCCATGCAGTACAAAGCCTCTATAACAGTCCCAGATTGCCCCGGCCCCGAACGGTAAACTATATCGCCAACATCTAATCTACTCTACCCGTCTCGATACGTCAACAGTCAGGAGTCGGCGCGCTTGAACTGTCGCACTCGGGCGCCCCGCCCGCATCGTCCTCGTCGCCGCACGCGTCGACATGCTCGACTCTCCGTTTCCGGACCTCCGAGTCCCGCATCCCACTCATTACCCGATGATCCCTCAGGACTGCATCCTCCTTCTCAACACTTCTCCGCACTGGACGGCTAACAATTTCTACGACATCGCTATCACTTCATGCTTTTATATACAGATTCAGCCCCCAGACCTCCCTGACCGTTGATTTCGTAACGTTAATATTGTGTTGTGATTTTTTGACGGCGCCACTCGCGACTCGCGCTAACGAAGCACGTTTTTCAGGGTCCTTTCAATAGCGGCGCCCGATGTGGACACAGTACTCGAAATCGTCAAAGAAGTGTTGCCGAACCTGGCTGATGTAAGTACCTCACACAATATATAAATAACGCACACACTCATAGCCCCGCTCTAGGGATCCGTGTGTCGCGGGTGCCATGGGCACACATAGACAACCACGAATTACACCCAAACTCACGAGAGAAATAGAAAATTAAATGTAGACCATACAAATGTTTCTCCCGGCCTGGGAATGGAACCCGGGACCTTTGCGTGGCAGACCAGTATGGCAACCTTTCGACTATGGAGGCTGTTATACAATATTAAAAACCTTGCTCGAAACGCAAGAAAGTACGATATTATAATTAACAATATGCTAGTTTTTGAGAATGTAGTATTTTTTATCATGATGTTTTTATAAACTATATTTTTTCCATTAATTTACGATAAAAAAATTAATATTATGATTACCACTATTACAATGTGAAATATAATCAGGGAGGACCGAAAGGGAATAGCGAAGAACTGGACGTGCGTCTACTGATCCACCAGAGCAGAGCGGGCTGTGTAATCGGCAAGGCTGGAGCCAAAATCAAAGAACTACGAGAGGTAAGACCAACATTCTTTTTATTTAATTTTTACAGCATTGATGGCAACTGCGGAGACGGAAAAGTTGCAGACAAATCTATCATCACGTTTTCGTAAAGTTTACTTTGATAAATGCTGCATCTTGAATACATAATGTACAAAATCAAAGTAAAAAAATAATTTATTCCATAGGTGACGCTTACACTTGAAAACATCATTATTTAAGTTACTGCTCGTTCACTGTGCTGACTTGCTGAGAAGAAGAAACTCTAGGGATTGCTCTTTTCACATAAAATTAAATGCTATGGAATGCACTTTAAATCATATTTATGTGGAATCTTAGACTCATGTCGTCTTTCCACTCATCTTTATCTAACAACACGTAATCTTCAATGTTGTAATGTGACTTTTCAATGAAAATAATTTTGATACAACTTTTAAACTTAACAAATGATAATCTTAATATATATGCTTCAGAATCTTATCGTAAAAACATATACAGTTCCCCATAAAGGAATCGTTTACCTAAGTTAAACAAAATCGTGGTACCATAAGTCGGATTTAGTTCTAAGGTCAATATTATAGATATCTTCTTTGTTAATGAAATTATGTATATTTTTACGGCCATACAAAATATTTGAGTCAATGTACTGTGATGCCACAGTCATGATACCAGTCCCCTTAAACTTTTCTTTGAGAGAAAGCCGGGAACCTAATCGGTACACAGAACAAAAGAGTACAAAGTATGTTTCGTGTGATAGATATTCTTTCATAAGTGCAGGATCTCTTCACACAGGCTGAATTCATAATACTTCGAGATACTGCTAAAATTAACTTAATGTACAAAGCAAATAAATTCTTTAGCAAGCGAACAAGATTTCAGCAGCTTAACCTTATTTCTAGGAAACAAATTGTTTACCGCAGCGGCAATAACGTAAGCTCATGAATATGTGAATAATGACATTACCATGTTACCGGTAAAGCTCTCAACACTACGTGTGAAAGAAAACTTATTTCCTTATATTCAATTGGCCCTAAGTTGTTATAATCTATACTAATATTATAAATGCGAAACTAAATCTGTTACGTTTTCACTTATAAACAGCTGAACCAATATTGATGAATTTTGGTATAGAGATATGGGACTTAGGAGTAGGACATAGCCTAGCCTTTGTCACAGGAATAGTTCTTAAAGGGGTTGAAACAGAGAATGGAAGTTCGTATGAAGAAGCATTAAAACTATGAAAGTGAGTGTAGTACAGTAGGCTACTCGAAGTACTATTTAATTTATTTATAATATTTAAGGAATATTTCATTCATTCGTACTTATCCTACGCAGACAAAATCGCGGGTACCAGCTAGGACCTATACAAATTCTTAATGAAATGAAATGACTGACTGAATGAAATATTTATTATTGCATATTAAAAATTACAATGACAAAACAGAACAATAATGTAACTATCACAGAGTAAAATAATGTGCAATAAGTAGCAATTTCTTCCAGGCAACCTTAGGATAGAAATTTAACAGTTGGAACGAAAGAATATCTTGTAATGAAAGTGGTTATAAATAAATACACTACTCATCAAGAAAGTAAATATATAAACAATAATATGAAATACATACATTATTAGAATAAATACACAAATAATGTGTAATTTTAATAGTATCTTAATATGTTTTATCAAATATTTAATAATTTAAATGCCATCTATAACTCTAATTCACTAACCCTTTGGAAACAGCGCTAATTTATGAACTAAACCCTTATTTAAGTAAGGGCTTTGATCGTTAGTTCGTAGATAGCTTTTATTAAAGAATTATTTACTTAAATAAAGAAAATAAAAACAATTTAATTAAATAAATACTTTATTTATTGAAACCTCTATTTATTTATATAATGTGTAAAAAGAAAGTCGTGTTCATAAAGAATGTCTCAAAACAAATTAAAAATAGTTTATTCTGTTATATTAAATAAGCAGATTAACACAAACAAGTTGCTTAATAAAGGACGTCTTATAGCAAGTTTTGACTAGCAAAGACGCATACAGGCGTTTGATAATTGTAGGTAGAGCAGATGGAAGCATTACAAGTCATCTGTCGATACAGTTAGGATTTTTTACGCGACACGTGGTCGGTCGAAAGGCAGATGTAAAAGCAGCTGCGGCCTCTATCTCTTTATCTTTCGGATATTTTCTGGCTAGGTCTTTTCTGAAAATATAATATTTTAAATAGGATTTAGGCGTTAATCTGAAATTTCAAAATTTCTAAACAACGTCCTTCATAATTATATCAATTAAAAATTGAAGATCCTGATTTCGAACTAGAGTGAAAAAAATATTTTCTCGATGCTCCTTTTTGATTGAGGATAATAGTTTAAGTGGGTTTTAAACGTCAAACTGGAAATTTTTTTTCTTGTAGGCGTTTGATATGTACTAGTATCCATTTTTGCTAAAAATAAATCTATACAATAACACTTATTAAAATATAGAAGATTCTAATCTGAAAGTAGAATACTAACTATAGGCCTGATGCAATGATACTCACTTCCTCTACTGTGAATCTGCGGAAATACGCGTGTCAAATCACGATCTTCCGGGCCCGATATCAGATAGAAGCGTTTCTCCGTAGCCTCCGTCCGATACAAAGCTAAAACGATTATCGTTGTTTCGTATTTCGGATTTTGTAGTAGACCTCCAGGCCTAAATTTAGGTATCTAATAATGGTCTGTAAATAATAATAAGTCACATGTTCGTCACAGGACATTTTTGTTACTGATTTATTTTGTGTAGAATTATTGAACAATCATTTAAAACACAGAAAACATTTATGTATAGCATTCGTTGCTACATATGTCATTTCCCCGAATACAGTAATTATGACTGTAATTTTTGGCCTCGAAATCATTTTTATTCCTATTCCGATGCCGATGAGAGATACGATAAAATGTCAAAAGGCCATTTGTGCTTGCATGTGAAAGCTGTCCACGTCGTACTAATGTGTTTCCATTTATTTGTACCTCCATAGAACACAAAAACGTAATAAATAAATAAATGTTATCACATATGCCCAAAATGCTGTTGTTACTACGAACGATTGATTTTTTATTCCTGTAATAAATCAAAGAGGTACCATCGCAACATTAATGCTGTGATCCTTTTACTTTCGAAAATTTGAGAATACATTTCACAAAATCGAAGAAGTTAACTTAAATACAAACGCATCCAACCCATCATTAACTTCGTATTTGGCAACTGATTTAACAAACAATTTTATGGCGAGCAAAGTGCATACCGGCGGATCACTTACCTAACTTCGCCGCTCTGCTTTTAAACGTCTACCAACTTTGCAATCACGGTGTTGCGTTTCATAACTCTGCACTCAGCTGTTTGCTCGGAAGATTAGACTATAAAATAGAGGCTTTGAAGGTATACTCCACCGGAGATTCGATCAACGAGCTTGTTTGTTCACTATGCAGCAAACCCAAATTCATTTCACAACTTTGATGGTGTTAGCCGTACCTGAAAGCCATTACGAACAATATGCAGATTCAGGATGGCACGTGTTATTTATATGTGCTACGAATACACAAACTGCTACTGTACTGTAGCTACGATAAAAGATGATTATAGCGGTTTCTATGTCCAGTCAATATTATGAAATGCCCTGTCCAATCAAGCAAAGTGTGTACACATTATGGTCTTTTGTTCTGTCTTGCTTTTCGTAACACGGCGAGGTTCTGGCCAGTTTTGCAAACACAAATACTGACTTCCCTGGTTTTATTACAGCTTAGAGGATATTAGATACTGGTTCCGTGTTTAGTGTCGTTAAAGCTTTAAAGCGGGCGCAATTAATTCCATGAAAAACGTGCTCAGCATAATCTCGAGAATAATCGCCGCATTTTCATACAATGTTTGTGCCGTCGAGTACTAACTTTGAATACACCTGAACTTTGATACTTTTGCATCTGCTAGTAGATTTAAGTCTTATATGCTTCATAATGTATTGTCGTAGGTTTCTTTTCTTTATTTGTCTTTTGGCATTTTGTACTAACAAGTTCTTATTACCTGAAGCATTGCACTCTATTAATTTGTTTCGCGTGTCAACTGTTCGTATGCTCTTAACCGCCTCCAATATAAAACGATGTAAGGAGTCAATGGACTCTACCTGAAGAAGAGAAAAAGCAAAATTGGAAGAATCAAATTCCTTCCTAAATATTTCAATAGCGCAAAACAACAATAAGCACAAAGGTGTCCCAAATGCGATGCTTTTTGCATCAGTCCACGGCTGTTTGTACCGATATGGTTTGTTCTTTGATGCGACATCTACCAAATTGCCGAACTTATTAGTCGTAGAATATTTATTTTGAACACGTGATTAACATCATAAATAATGTGGAATTTATTGAAATTTTATTTATAATAATAATAATAACGCACACTCAACATAGCCCCGCACTAGGGAAACCCTGTGTCGCGGGTGCCATGGACACACACATAGACAACCACAAATTACACCCAAACTCACGAGAGAAATAAATGTAGGCCATACAAATGTTTCTCCCGGCCCGGGAATCGAACCCGGGGACCTCTGCGTGGCAGTCCGGTATGGTAACCGTTCGGCCACGGAGGCAGTTAAATTGTTATTTATTATTGCAGTTATTATATTATATATAGTTATTGTTACAGTATTCTTTGTTTTTTAATTTAATTTACGTTTATACGTGAACAAAACTGTTTCGTTCTAATAAACTTTAAATGCACTTGAAATTCAATCTATCTTGCTAGTTTCTCTACCCTTAAAAATTCCCGGGATGAACTTATCTTTTAAGATTCGATGTATTCGATCAGTGTGACTGTGGGGCGAGCATTCGGCAATTTTAACTCGGAAGACTGTCTGGAGGGATCCTTTGTTGCGGGGCGCGTGCGAGGGCGGCAGCTGCGCGGCAGGTGCGCGCGCAGCCGCCGGATGCCGCACAAAAACCCTGTGCCACGCACCTGGGCGCCCGCGCACCGCCC